CCTTGTAGTTGTTCCGGGTGATGCGATGCCGTTTGGGTATCTCTGGGAGGTATTTGGATTCTTGTTTTTGTTAATTCTAGTTTTCTTGGGTAGAGATATGTCAATGAATCTCAACCTTTGATTCTTGAGCAATCGTGAGTCTATATGAAAATATGGAGCTGCCGGGAAGTTTCGCTGCTGATTTGAAGATAGTCATCCTGAGCTGTGGTTGTCTTCCGAACCTCTCTTTGCGGACTGTTTTTCCTGATCTCTTCGGATTCTGTCATCTCGGGGAGACTTGTCAGGGGAGGGGGGATAATTAAGACGAAATTACTGCTCTTCATAATTTTCCTACATTATTCAGGAGAGTTGACTTAATACGAGAGGATCCGTAATCTATTCTTTTGCAATGTTGGTCATATGAATTATCTGGGCTGCTTAGGTTTGCGTTGGGTTTGTTGGTGTGGAATTGATGGTTTGTCTGGGGTTCATCGGATTTGTGCCTGTTATGATTATAATAGTATGATTTTTTTCATTGCCAAGAAGTAACATAACGGCTAATGTGATTCACAGGATTTGCTGATAAAGTCGTCGGTGTGTTTCGGTATCCTTGGAACGGATCTTTCTCTATTCTGCCAGTCAACGCCTGCCGTTTAGCTATCTTGCAATGGACCCCTAGGTTTGCCTTGTTGAAATAACGCTATATTCTTTTCTTGGAGGGTTCAGTAAGACTTACTCTATATTGTTATTTATTCTTGTGGAGGTTTATTATCTCTTTGGCTGCTGGAGTTCTGTTACCTTTCTATAGGCACGGGGTGTTTGATGAGTTGGGTTTGGCGAAACCAGTCAATTTTTCCCTTCTGTTGACTTGTGTGTTTACGCTTTCATTTAGGTTAGATATTAATTTCCTCATTACTTTGGGTTCTCGGATATAAATTAAACAGGTGTTCCATTTCTTCATATATTGTATAGGACAGATTAATATCTTCTCAGGAGTTTGGTGGGGTACAACATAATGCGTTTCTACCTCTCCCCTCATTTTCTTCTTTTGTTCAAAAAAGATTTTAACTTATCTGCTAAGGGCAAGTGACTATCAGATCCACCTGAGGAACCCATATAGACGACTTTCTATATAGTGGGGGGGATTAGGAGGGGAAAAAGAGAGTTAAGGACTAAATATTCTCTCTACATTTTTTTCCATAATCTATAAGTGGTTCGGTAGGAACGGATCTTGCCCAGATGGGGTTGGGTCTTCTCAATCATTCCACATCTATTATTTTAGTAACCTAATCACATGCTCTTGGCCGCTACCTTTCCCGGCGTGCTCGTAGGCACTATTGGAAATCTAATCCAGATTAAGATAGACCACTAAGTAATTTTTCTGGTTTTTTTATTAACTTTAGAATCTTACTAATTATTAATGTACATTTATATCATATAATACTTGTTGGTGTGTAGAGACATTAATTTGGTGGGCTTTTGTTTATAGCACTCCTTTTTTTTTTATACTTTAATACTTTTCATCTCGTTATTATAGATTGGGGATTTCATAATATGAGGGATATACCATTATATCCTTTGATACAGAACTAAGTATACTTTTTATATTGATTTCATCAGCTAATACGGTGGGCATCATAGGGAATATATCACGAAATTCTTATTTCTTGGTCTAGAAAAGGACTTATAATTGTAGATTTTCTTTCTCTTCATTCTTTGTGCTTAAATATTAGCCGAACGAGAGAAAGGAATAAACAACTAATCGGAATAAATCCAATCATTGACTATGCTGATAAAATCCTCCTGGATTTCTCTTATATTAGTCCTTTCCTGTCAATCTATCCTAAAGAATAATCTTTCTTGTAGGTAATATACTCTTGTGCTGATTTCTTAAAGTTAAAATGACAGAACAAGATGGGAAGCTTAGATGAAATAGGAAATGAACCCTCTCTTAATACGTGTAAAAAATAAATAAAAAAATCCTATACCCTCGTAACATGCCCAGAGTTATCTTTTAGCTTAATCTATAGATATGTTATTCCTTAAGGAGATGATATATTTCTTAGGACTATTACTTTAGTGATAGAGAAGAAGATTCCTATCACATTAATTACACTCTGGAGGGATTATTCTTGGGAGACAGTGACGGAATCGTAAGGATGTGTAGTGATCAAGTTTGTTCTTTATAGTAATTTTGATAAAGTGAGGTGGGGAAAATTTTCCACATCATTCAGTTCACAACTAAATCAGTTTGCCGGTGTAGGCTATTAGATATATAGAGTATAGCAGTTCATACTATTCCAACCTAGCTGTTGCTATGCTATGGGCGGGAGTTTCAAATATTTTCTACAGGATTGTTCGGGAATAAGACTTGATACAAGTCATAAATGGTACAACAGAAGGTCTTCAGTACTGCTCTTAATAAAGGGCGCGAATATTAAAGTCTTGTCAACTCAACTATGATCATTAACTTTCGAAGTCTTCGCGGATATGACTAATTCCATATTCTGTGGCTTCAGAATAATTCTACTTTGCCGGAATGGAACAATACATTCGGGTTCATACGCAGCTTGGAGGCTGTCAACATATACTGTAGTGTACGTTTAGTTGCCTTTGATGAAAACTCTCAATTTAAAGTATGATAGTTTGGATTTTTTATTAAATTTAGTGAAATACGAATTTCAGTTGTGAATAACTCCTTAAAAAAACATAAATTCAGCTCACATTCCAATCTTCGCACCTCCTCTAAATGTAGTTTCACGTCTAAAGCTGCACTTTTCTCTTCTTGTATTCGTCTATCGGGGCGCTCAAGGCTTATGGGTAGGCTCCGCATCTTTATATTTTTCCTCTATATTCTGCCCGTTTCCTGTTGTCTATATTCTTCCCTAGGTTTCATTCTATTTAGGAATAGCCTTTACTTTCTCCTTTTTCCATTTTGAGGCAAACCCGTCCTTTTTAAATTCATATATAATTTCCTTCTCGGGGCATATCTTTTTCTAACAGGATGGGTTACTCGGGATTCTTATGTCATGAACCGTGGATTTATATATAACACTATGGCTCAACTTATCCACACATCACAGGAGTAAGAGGGCGGTTTACTGCTTTTATTCATTCTCAAGGAGTCTCCCCATTGCCAAAATACTGCTATATAGAAAAAGGGGGAGGACTTCTCAAAATTAAGAGGCTATTCTCATAGCCACTTCGCTCATAATCTGCAAAGGAACAGGAAAAAATAAAATCAAAGTCATCTGAGTAATGCGATCCAAAGAATTGGAATCCTTATATTCGAAATCAGGGCAACACAGAATATACAGGTAAAAAAACAACTTTCAGGTCAGACCTTTGACCAGTAGTGAGCCATGCAGTCAACATAGATATCTTATGATTACGACTTTAGATACAACAAAAGTGGATACTTTTACACTAACCGTAGAGACACCGAATGTGGTAACTC